ATTAATGCAGATAACCAATAATAAATCGTTTGATTAAAAAGAAGCCTTTCTTTCTCCTTTCTTTCCTCATCCAAAATTCATTATTCAAAATTGGATTAATTTCTGTATTAGAAAATTAGCATCTTGAAACAACACCATCTATTAATTACTAATTCTAGCTTCAATTTAAACCGAATTGAAAAAACCCCACAAAGGTATTATAAAAGCCCAGTCACTGTTTGTTTTTCGATTCCCAACGTCAGTAGTTCCGACCAAATATTTATTGCCTTAGATTTGTTGGCAGTGTAGCAAAGTGTTAGATTTGTTTAGTGTCCCTCTGAATTAAGATAGTTTAATTGAAATGGGAAACAGTTTACGATCACGAAAAGATTAAAGGTCATTTTCCCAATGTGGCCAGTTTTTAGAAAGAAATGCATTTCAACTGAGTGAATTAGACGGTTTAATATTCATGGAGCGAATCCAAAACCAGCTCCTGATATGGATCTCAATCATTTAATTCAATGTTGCAGTGGTGGAGAGGTGTTCAGTGTGTGGCAAACCGCAAGACAGATCAAAGGGCAAAACTTTAGTGGCAGATAAGGCACCAGTTTACAGTACACTGATATGGATCCCATAGCCACATTGTGCGTGTGTGTGTGTGGTGTGTCATTGGATTTGTCAGTGGTTTTAGACGCTAACCTATGACAGCATTTTAGGGGAAAAATTAATAATAATACTTGCATTTGTATAGCGCCTTATCATATCACTTCATTGATCCGTCTCACAGCGCTTCACAGGAGATACTGGAAAGTGAATTGACTGTGTATCTTGTGGGCGAAATTTGGCGACTACTTCAGGAAAATATGAAAGAGGTGAACAGGGGGAAGGAAACAGCAAGCGAATGGGATTAGAGTGGATATCTAATAAGATCTATCTGCGCTAGTTATACGATGGGCAAATGAAGGCGATTTGAGACAAACTGCACCTTTTTTTTAAAAAAAATAGGACAGCCACTGCTCAGTGTTCTTACATTCGGAATCGAACATTCAATTCAGCAAAATCATTCACCAGAACTCGAATGAACGCCTGGTTTTGCTAGAAGCCCAGGGAAACTGAATCATGTACATTTCGGATGTAAAGTGCATTAGCACTTTGGAACAAAGCTTCTCTCTCACACCAGCAGTGCAACGAGTCAGCGATGCAGGAGTTGACACAAGGCAGATCATTCCTGTATTACAGACTGGGGCACGACGCAGGGAAATAATGGAACGAAAGGGGCAGCAGTTGAAGACTACGGGGGAAGCAGAAATGGGAGAATTTAGAGATTGACAGAGGTTAGTGCAAACACGGTCAACATAAACAGAATAAAACCAACTACGGTTGCAGACTGGAGCCAGGAAATTGAACACCTTAAGTCACCGTGTTAACATGGAGTAACTATTGCGAGTTTCTGGTTAAGTGACTTACACTGACAAACATATATAGATATTTACATACAGTAAAACATATCCCATAACATATCCCATTTCTTTCACACTGGAATCTAAGCGGTACTCCGTAACCTTAACATTTTATGAAAACAGATGAGTCAGTGAGTTATTTAAACCTCGTTCAAACAGTGTCCTTATTTTCCATCTGGTAAAACAGCATCTTTCACGTTAACTTGAATCAAAGGTCACTGGAAACAAAAAAAACACACATCTCTACTTTCATAAATACGCATCACTGAAAATGAAGGATTTTTTTTGCCAATATGACAGTGATAATTTATTTATCTACAGCAGAATATCGATCAAGATTATTTTGATCTGAAATCCGGTCAGTGCACAAACAAGTAAGAGTAGACAAGATGAGAGGGAGTGGTAGGTATATAACTCGCAGGCAATAATCACAACACATCTCATGATCACACGATAACTCTCAGAACAAAATAGCACACACATGTAGCAATGATTAATGGTCAGGGAGAAGTCAGTACCAAAAATGTACCAGTCCGACTACAGGACTTCCAACGCAGATTTCACACGACGTCTAAAAGCGTAGGTTCAGTCATTAAAGTCCAGTCCAAACTTCGATGACAGTGTCCATGCTAGAACTTCGGGATCACAGTTGGAGCGGTCTAACTCTGGAGCCCCTTGTGCGGCTGGTATGGATTTGGAGTGGATCTGCCCTCAATGATTCCCAAGTGTCGGCTAATTCCGACTCTCGCTAAATCCATCGTTTTCCTGCAGCAGAGGAGGTCCAACCTTTGAGAACCAACCTTTGTCTGGAGGCCGCACAAGCAATACTTTCGTGTTTCCCTTTCAGAAATAACATAACATTCGAGGTTTATGGAGGGAGCGGGTGGGTCAGATGAAATAGAGGGATGGGGGAGGGTGGGGGGGCCGGAAGTGGCCCGCGGGTCACCAGTTGGACCACTCTGCTGCAAAGCAACGGGTAAAATTCACACACAGAAGGAAAGGCCATATTATGGACCGGTTTCATTCATTAAGTAATCACATTCGTCAAGAACCACTTCAACCCGCCACCAACCCCCACCACCAAAAAATAAACACTTGGTCCACCTCAATCCAGAATTCGATTCAACAAAAAGCAACTGTAAAATTTAAGGGCGATAATGATCAAGGTTTGCATTGTGTAGTTTAGCAAAAAGGTTTCAGACCCCTCTAAAGTGCAGCAACCACAAGAATGTTACATTTATGCAGCGCCTTTCATGTCGGGAGGACATCCCAAGGCACCGGGCAGTCAGGGATTTGGACCCGAGCTGGGGGTTGGGATGAGGAGGGGGTGGAGGGCGGAGGTTGGAGGATGACTGAAAGTGCGGTCGAAGAGGAGGGTCTTGAGACTTGCCTTGAAGGAGGCGAGGGAGGAAGGGAGCGAGGGGAAGGGACTGTGGGCTGGAGTTCCAAAGGGTGGGGGCAGAGAGGCTGAAAAACACAGTTTGTATTTGAAAAGACATTCCTCCACAGAGACGGGTGTAGGTTAAACCAGCAGAAAAAAAACAGGGCTCGGTTTTTAAATGCTATTCAGAACAGGGGAGCCCTGGTTACACACCTGAAACTGCTGATTGTGAACCATTGATTCGCTGCCCTTTAGGTTTCCCATTGTTTTGTAGAACCGTAACGTGCCATGATTTTCTATGAAATCGTTAACTTAAAATGGCAACACATTTTCCTGGTAATTTTCTCTGAACCTTATCATACCCTGAACCCCAATGTCTGGTATTGTATGATATATATATATATATATTATATATAATCTCATTTGTGTTTTGAAACCATGGCAACAATGTATATAATACATATATACATACACACATATACTTTCTATATATATATATATATGTATATTGTGGCAACGGTTTCAATGCTCGACTGAGAGAACAACAATCTCACCTAATGCAGAACATTACCAGGTTCTGAGACTACATAGGAACAGGAGGAGGCCATTCAGCCCCTCGAGCCTGTTCCGCCCTTCTATAAGATCTTGGCTGATCTGCACCTCAAGTCCAATTCCCTGCCCTGGCCCCCGTACCCATTAATCTCCTGACCTAACAAATATCTCTCCACCGCAGTCTTGAAAATGTGAAATGGACCCAGCCATAATCCACAGCCTTTTGGGGGAGGGAGAGAGAGTCCCAGATTTCGGCGAACTACCCTTTGGGTGCAAAAAAAAATCAAAAATAATATTAGGGCAATGAGATTCTAATTCTCATCGGGAGAAAGTATGAACAGCTCGAGGGGCTCCAATAGGTTCGGAAAGCGCAGGCCACGACATTCGGCCTTCAAACTTGAGTAATAATAATAATAATAATAATATTAATAATAATAATAATCCTTGCATGTGAATAAACATCAACTTGCGTGTAGATGTTATCGTGGTGAAAACGGCTCGAGAGTTACTGCACGTGACGCGGGGAAAAGTGGGAAAAGGGGAAAACGACTCTCACGCACATTTTGTTTTCATTTTTGCGCACGGCAGAAACACTTCGATGGAATCAGCCCAGGAACATGCGTTAGTTTTCCCTTTGTTTCGTTACTGCTGCGAAGCAAATGTGATTGAACGTTGTGGGGGTGGGGGGGGGTTGCTGATGGGGTTTGGGGGTGGTGGTGGGGGGGGGGGGGGGGGTGGAGATTGATTCATTGGTGCCTGAGCAAATAACAACATTCCAGCTACCGTTCCCCTAACCAGGCACTGGCTGGTAACTACATACACGCGATCAGGAGGTGAAGGTGTAAATGCTGCATGCACAATCTGCAATTTGTCCATCATAAAAGCAAATCCATTTCTATATAAATCGCCTCGACACTTTAACAAAGTGCAGGTCTGGCAAGCGAGCGAGCGAGCGAACGAGAGAGAGAGCGAGAAACGAGAGGGGGAGGAGAGGGGTGGGGGGCCGGGGGGGGGGGAGAGAATCACTAATCATCACTCTCTTTCCGACGAACACGATCAGTGAGTACGGTCACACGGGGACAGCGGAGGCTGAGTTCATCGGCAACCGTCGAAGCTTCCGAAATCCTCTCGCTTTCCTGCCCCTGCGACGCACTCGATCGCCCGGTCACCAGTCGGCGTCAGAGAGCAGAAGACAAGACACGGACAGAAACAGCGGCGACAGCTTGCTGCGAGACAAGCAACCGCAACACTGACATGTTTTACACGTGACGTGTCCGTGAAAAAGGGCCGTGACGCAGCTCCGATGGAAGAGCGAGGCTTTGGTGCGCATTGTTACCGCGTTCGAAGCAGGAGGAGGAGAGAGTGGGGGGGGAGGGGGGAGTATTTGGGGAAGGAGTGTGGGGGCAGGGGGCGGTGGGGGGGGGGGCAAAGAGAGAAGAAGCAATCCGCATGCTGTCCTGCAATTAATTCCCCCGCGTTCCTCACTCGACGAGTTTCAAAATCAGTGACTGGTGAAGCTTGAAGATTTCGGTGTGAAGACACAGAGAGCTCAGTCGCCAGCTTTTCTACCGAGCGGAGAGGAAAATAGTTCGGGGGGGAGGGGGGCGAGTGGGGGGATAGCAGAGGGAGGAGGGAGGGGGCAGTGGTGGTGGGGCAGGGGGGGCAAAGGGGTGACAGCTGTTGAGTTGCTGCTGCAGAAAGTGATATGGTTTCAGGACACAGGTAGAACATCTCATTTGTAAAGTGTTGGGGGCTTGTCGGGGCATCTTGTCGGGATCATCTGTTGTTTGGGCAGCTTGACAGCCCCCTGGTCCTCACTGTCGCTCTCGCAGATGTGGACCACCACGCTGGGGGTGGACTCTGTCCCCGCGTGAAGCTCGTACTTCTCACCTAGAGCACGGGGAGAGAGTGGGAGGGAGAGAAACACATCCATGAGTTTGGGGCAAATCACTTGAACCAGAGAGCTTACCTTCCTCCCACCTCCCCCCGCCCCCCCCCCCCCGAAACAACAGCAAGCAAACGACTTGCATTTACATCGTGCCCTTCACATCAGGTCAGGCAATATCTCAATTGCTGCTGAGTTACAGCAGGGGGCGCTGCGGCATGCCGAACACAAGTCTACAGCGGGCTCAAACATCGCCATCAGGACCCGCCTCATCTCGCTGTGTCTTCGGCCGACGGTCGGCCAATTGGTGTCTGATTGGCAGCACCTCTTTGGGGCCAACGTGCTGCATTTCGATACAACCGGGGAAGTTTGGGCGGAGGGTGGATGGACAGGAGGACACCTTCCCGCTCGCCGCTGATAATAACGTGAAAACTCAAGCCGCTTCTAGGGAAATAAACCCAAACCGATCGAAGGTCCCTTCGGTTTAAACCTGAGCTACACCATCGCCTGGTGTAGATTAAGTTCGCCACAAGTCCGCAATAGGAGATCATATCCCATTGGTTTAAAATTAGGATCGTTTTCCCACTGGGGACGTCCTTCCGACGTGAAAGGCGTTATATATAAATGTCATCTTGTTGTTGTTTCGATGCTGACCAGCAGAATAACGGGAATACATCGGGCATCAAAGAATTATACACTCTTAATCTGTACTATATTCCTGGTTGTTTTACAGAGAAACTATTTCCTCTGGCGGGTGGGGGAAATCCAGAACGGGGTGGGGGGACATCATCTTAAAATCAGAGCTAAGCCATTTAGGAGAGAAGTCACCCAAAGGGGAGTTAGTGGGAATCTGGAACTCTCTCCCTCCCCCAAAAGGCTGTGGATTGTGGCTGAATCCACTCAAATTTAAGACTGTGGTGGATAGATGTTTGTTAGGTCAGGATATCAAGGGAAATGGGGCAAAGGCAGGTAATTGGAGTTGACGTACAGATCAGCCATGATCTTATAGAAAGGCGGAACAGGCTCAAGGGGCTGAATGGCCTCCTCCTGGTTCCTACGTTTGTTTCTTTTTCCTCAAATCAGCAATTAACCCACCTGGACCGAGCTTAGCGACCGCACAAAGGAGATCATAGTTAATGCCAGGAGTGGCATCTTCTATCTGGTGCCATCCGACTGGAGGAGAGGACGGAGGGGAGATAAGGAACTGTTTGACAGGCTGCGGAGGGGCGAGGTACGATTTATCACCTTCATCTTGGGTGCCCTGGACCTGAAGGGTGAAAAGAAGACATGACAGAACAGACAGAATAGACTGGGGTTTGGTGGCGACATCCCTTACATTTGGCAGAGGGTAGGACTGTGTTCTTCCAATGCACAACAGTCACCTCACAGACCACTCGGGACCTTTGCCTGAACTCACAGCAGATCCGAGACCCCGAGGCTGAAAACTCAATTGAATTTATTTCGCATTAAATTTACTACTTCCGTCCAGCCCAGGAACCCAGTGCCATGAGCACCGCAAGACTAAACACCTCAACACCAGCATTAAAAAAACACACACCAAACAGATAAGTGAAGCGTTGACGTTAGGAACACAGAAACGGCCTGCGTTCGAAGCGCGGTCAATTCCAGACACGTCGGTGGAAACACCACTTCACTGAGTGAGGGGTAAACGTTTGGAACGTGGCTCCCGTGGGAGGGAGGGAGACAGACAGACAATAAGACGGTGGCAGCAGAAAAGGTTGATTCGTTCAAGAACAAACTAGATCCATTTCTGTTGGGAAATATTATCTTGGGGATACAGTACATAGTGTGGGACACATGACATGCGCAAGCGACTGGTGGAAGGCGAACTGGATGAACCTTGGTCTTCTTTCGACGAGCAAACTCTCATGTTCCTAAATACTATTAGCGTAATTAAAAGCCAGGCTGAAATCCCAATTATAATGCTGCAATAAAACAGTCACAATAAAAATTATATTGAAATGGGACAACTTGGCTCCTCCAGCCTATGCGAGTGCCAACCCCACTAATAAGGCTATACTCTCTAAAGTTCCTTGTACGAGATCCTTGTACAATGCAAGGCTTGGGGACCCCAGAGTGTGTGCCAGCAGTTACCCCAACACACACTCTGGGCTGGGAACCAACCCCCCACCTTCCACAAGCCTTGGCTCTCACCAACCTGCGCCTAATACCTTCTGGAATTAGGTAAGCAGGGTGCGTCCCTCCAGAGAGAGAGGGGGAGAGAGAGAGAGAGCGCGCATTCCATTCCAACAACCTATCTCTGGGATTTCCGTGTGTAGACGGGAGGCCTGGAATTCTCAGTTGGGTTTGGAGACTCTTAAGCAACAGCAATGGGTCTCTACGTGTGTCAGACACCCGCCCGGCTGACCAAAAAACCCCACAATACCTACACCCACACACCCACCGATCCACACACCCACCCGTACACACACCCGCCCACACACAATACCTGTGCAAAGTATAGCTTGAGTTTGGAGCCGCTGAAGTCGGATTCGTGTAGTTCTATCCTTGCCCTCGTGGCTGCTTCGGGATTGCTGAAATTTATCCGGATTCTCCGAAAACTACGGAATAACTGGAACGTGGCTTGATTGTCGTAAACCCGGAAAAGAGCCTCGAATCTGTCCTGTTTATATAAGAGAGAAGAAGACAATCTTAATCAAATTTACATTTTGACGTTATAAAAAAGGAAGGGGAAAGGTGGGGAGGGTGGGGGGGGGGGGTGGGGGGGGTGTGTGGGAGGAGAAGAAGACAGATTTACACCTTGATACAGTAGGTAAACATGGCAACCCACTTAAGTGTAATCAGTAAATCCAGATTAGCAATCACACGCAGGGCTGTTGCTTGGATGAGATGAGACGATGACACACAACTGCGTCTCTGAGCGCTGTGTGAAGTCACTGTTCGGGGTGAAGGTGACGCCAGCCTTGTGCCAGACGAACATCGGCAAACACTGAGAATCCTGATCAGGCTTCCCCGGTGAAGAGCTTCAATTCGACGAATCAAACGAATGAATTAAAACGCTATGTTCCCGACTGATAATATTAATAATAACCCTCATCTTCCGTACAGCACCTCATCATGTCTTCGAGAAGTCTCAAAGCGCTTCACAGGATACACTGTAAAGTGGAGTGACTGTGTGTTTTGGAGGGGTGGGGGGTCAGATGGTTCAGACCAGGCTCGGAGGTCGACTTGACATTGCTTCTTCCTCCAAACCTTCAGCCTACTGTCCATGTGGCAAGAGGGTGTTGGACTGGTATCCACTATTGCTTAAGCATTGGTCCAAAACCCTCAAGGTTAATGGTAATCCTGTTTGCCGCTTGACTTCTGCTCCCAGCAGGAACCGGTCACGCAATGCAAGTTGTCCTTCCCATCACCTTGATAAACAGCTACCGGTCTTAAGCAGCAGATTTTCCCCCCCACCCCCCACCACCACTGCCACTTGGAAACGAGAAGGTCCATCATTTCAACGAGCGCGATTGGCTGCCGTCTTTCGCCCACAAAGTATACAGTCAATTTGCTTTACAGTATATTCCCGCTTAGCGCTTTGAGACATCTCGAAGACAATATGATGAGGCGCTGTATCAAATCAGATGCAAGGGTTATTATTATCATCATAGGCAGAAACGGCCAAATGTGAGCTACGCACTGTGAAAGAGAGCGGCAGGTTTAGAGAGAGAGCCAATGAAGCCGATCGATGAAACGACTGCCTTTATACTGCAGCTCCAAGGTTGCCAGCTTTTCCCATCTCCGAACAAGAGGAGCGAGTGCTGTGACGGGCTGGGGCAGGAGTTTGCCGGCTGTTTGCTCCAGCAGCACACTCAGTGATATTGATAGCTCTACAATGCGCTTTCTCTAAGGCCGCGCAGGGCTCCTCGTGTTTAAGCAATTAGCGGCCTGTCGAAGGCAGCAATTATACACTGAGACTCTTAATGCTGCATTTACAATCCCCGCGCCCTGCTGACTGCAGATCTGCCGTCGCTGATCGAGTGATTGGCTCACAAACAACAACAACAACAACTACTTACCTTTCATGGATTTATAGAATTATACAGCACAGAGTGAGGCCATTCGGCCCATCGGGCCCGGGCTTTGAAAGAGCCGCCCAGATTAATCCCGCTGCCCCGCTCTCTCCCCATAGCCTTGCAAATTTGTCCTCCCCAAACGTCTAGCCAATTTTTATCGCAGAAACAGGAGGAGGCCATTCAGCCCCTCGAGCCTGTTCCGCCATCCTGTAAGGTCATGGCTGATCTGTACCTCGACTCCAATTACCAGTCCTTGCCCCGTAAGCGCCTTTCACGTCGGGAGGACGTCCCAAGTCAGGGATTTGGACCCAAGCTGGGGGTTGGGTTCGGGAAGGTTGGAGGGCAGGGAGGGTGGGGATAGGAGAGTGACTGAAGACACGGTCGACAAGGAGGGTCTTGAGACAGGCCTTGAAGGAGGCGAGGTAGGGGGTGCGAGGTGAAGGGACTGTGGGATACAGTTCAAAGATTATTATTATTATTATTATTACAAATGTAACTCATTGTTGATGATCGAATAGAACGGCCTGTGGAGTGGTTCACAAAATCAAAGCATTTGAGAAACTAATCGCACAATGATTTACAGCAAAAGGTAAAACGTTTCCTGAAGCACAAAGAGACTTCTTGTTATGATTAGTATCAACGTTTGCCTCGAGGAAGGAAAAGTTTCCATGTGGACCTCTTAAAACCTTTTGTTTTCCTATTGCGACAGAATGCGCTACTCGTTCGACTCATTTTAGTAAATAATCTGGTCAAGCAATCGCATTTGTAACATTCAGTATAAAAACATTCACTCTTACGCAGAAAAATTTCACAAATATTATTTGAGTAAATCCAAATAAATAAGCCTGCGTTATAAACTGTCTCCAAACTAACAGTCCACTTAATAATAATAATAATAACAGTCCTCGCATTTGATACAGCGCCTTATCACGTCTTCGAGACGTCTCAAAGCGCTTCACAGGAAATACTGTAAAGTGAATTGACTGTACACAAGTGTATTATTTGAATCAACGACCATGCAAAAAAAACAACCCAGATATATTCCCCTTATCAACACAGCACACAAGGATGCTGCAGACATGGAATGCTCACGTGAATACGTCAACCACATCGAGAAGGTTCGAGACGACAAGGTGGGCTTTCATTTCAAGCCCGTAAATACACAGTCACAACATGTCAAAGCAAAGATGCCGTTGTCTCAAATTCGACTATCATTCTTGTTATTTCGTTGGGATTTTTGGGGGGGATATCGTTGAGAAAAATTGTTATAAAGTTGGCCAATAAACTGGGGCTGAATTTTTGATCAGCCAATTCAACCCCCGAATTTCCCCTGAAATTCTGGACGTGATGATGTTACTCCTTCATCAACAACACCAACTCATTGCGCCCTTCGCGTCAGGAGGACGTCCCAAGGTGCTGGACAGTCAAGGATTTGGACCCGAGCTGGGGGTCTGGGAACAGGAGGGGTGGAGGGCAGGGAGGGTGGGGGTAGGAGGGTGGCCGAAGAGGAGAGTCTTGAGACGTGTCTTGAAGGAGGCGAGGGAGGTGGGCGGGGGGGTGGGGGTGGGGTGGGAGGGGAAGGGACTGTGGGATGGAGTTCCAATTGGCTCTGGACACTCCCCATTACGAGCCTGAATGTGAGGTTTTTAACTGCAGGATGGCATTGGGATATGTCGTCGAATTGCAAAGTGTACATTAAACCGCGTGGAAACACGGCAGGATAAATAAAGATAAATAAATAACGGACAACAAGTGCCCGATCTGATCGCAGATACTGTTACAGGGAGAAGGCGGGGAAGGGGAGGTGGTTCCTGGTATTCCAAGCAGAAAGTGATCTATAACACTGGCTTGCCTTCCCCGTCAGAGAATCATAGAATATTACAGCACAGAAGGAGGGCAATCGGCCCATCATCAACAACAACATCGACAACTTGCACTTATTTAGCCCACTTCGCGCAGGGCAGTGTCTCAGAGCGCTTAAAATCGTGCCTGTCTTTAGAAGAGCTACCCAATGAGTCCCCCTCCCCTGCCCTTTCCCCCCTGTCACTCACAACGATGTGGTTTCATTGTGAGCGTCTCGCCCGCTCTGTGTTAGACACCAGACAATTACATAATGCACAAGGTCTCCAGGTTCAGCTGCGTACAACAGCTGCTGTGTTTAGCACCTCATCATTGCACCTCTCCCGCCGAGCCACAGAAATCTAATATCAATCACACACCGGCTCCTCGGATCCAAATTCCCTGACAAAGCTGAGCAGACATCTCCAATTAGGACTACTGTAGCGTAGTGGTTAGAGCGCAAAGCCATAAGCAAGTTTCCTTACTCTGGTTACCCAGCAGTAAGTAGGAACCCGGTTGTTAGTTGATTGGCGGATTGCTTTCTGGGGGTAATAATCCCTCAAAAAATATGGTCACTCAATCCGCGACTGTTTGTGGGGACGCTGTTGTGCGCAATTGGCTGCTGCGTTTCGCTCACAAAATACACAGTCACTACGCTTTACAGTGTATTCTGTGAAGCGCTTTGAGACGTCTCGCTGACGTGATGAGGCGCTGTATCAAATGCGAGGATTATTATTATTATGATGATGATGATGATGATTAGCAATCACATGATGAATTTGTTTAAATGCTGCTATTGGGACACAGGAGAAGGAGAAGGCCACTGTGCCCATCAAACCTGCTCTACCAGTTTTATTAGATTTGGGCAGATCTTTTAATTCCAATGCCCAGCCCTTTAATACCAGGACTAGTCTTTTTTTAATTAAATTTAAAATAAAGCACACCCAAACTCTGTGCAAAACACACAGTGGATTAAATTGCTTTCGGAATACTTCCAGCACTGCCCAGCTAATGCGTGTGTGTGTGTGCAATCACAATAATAATCCTTGCATTTGATGTAGCACCTTATGACGTCTTTGAGACATCTCAAACAGGATCACAGGATACACAGTAAAGTGAATGGACTGTGTGTTTTGTGGGCCAAACGCATCCACAAGTGTCACAAATCAATATTTCGCCAGCGGCTATTTTTCCCGGATGTTGATTCCGTGCGGTGAGCGAGAATTCTCCCAAATTTGTAAACAGGGAGATGTAGAATTCTGGGCCGGACGTAGCCGTTGGCGAGGTCATGTTGGAAACTGGGACGTTGGTATTGGCGCGGGGGAAACAGATAGCGTAGGAGCAAAACAGCGCAGTATTTATTACGTGTTCACTGAACATTGCAATCAATCACTGACAGCAGTCTGCTTTGCTCCCGAACATGTAATATCACTAAATACAAACAGTGCAGTGGAAAGAACTGCAATAACAATAACCCCTTCAACCTTCCCGCACGGCACAAGTTTGTGCCTTGGTTGGTGAAAAGATAACTAGGATTTTCAGGCGTGAAGGGCGCTATGTAAATGTAAGTTATTATTGGCGCCGACAAAATCTGGAGGGGAATTAATTTGATCCCGATATGGTTTATATAATTTTGTGATCTCGGGGAGAGAGAGAGAGAGAGATACTACTTCAGTGAGCGAGTAGTAAATGTATGGAACAGGCTCCCCAGGGAGACAGATGGTGGAAGCAGAAAGTGTCAATTCTTTCAAGAACAAATTAGATAAATTTGTTAGGAAATAACATGTCGGGATACAGTATATAGTTTGGGATGTGACACGTGCCAAAGACTGCCAGGAAGGTGGAAGGTGGACTGGGTGGACCTCGGACTTCTTTCGCCAGCAAATTCTCATGTTGTTAAGCTGGAGAACTGAAGGCTTCTTCCATGTTGAGCACCCAATCTGATCGCCCCATGGATCCCCAGGCCAGACGTAGGATTGGGAAGATTGCAGTGTAAATAAGCCACCAGCGGTGGCCGGGCTTTCAGCTACTAAGCCCCAAGACTCTGGAACTCTCTCCCTCAACCCCTCCGCCTTGCCCCCACCCTCCCCACCTTCAAATCTGAAGACCATCCTCTTATCTTGCTTACAGTCACCTCTTGTTGCAAAACCCATTCCGCTCCGAACAACGCGCCTGGACCCCCACCTGACGAGAGCCTTCCTGACTGTAGGGGTCGTGACTTTTCCCCGTTCCGCACCATCTATTTCCCCGTCGTCCCTCGGGGAGTCGGGGAGCTCAGGGCTGGAGCCTCCATTATGTCCACGGAGCCAAAGCACAGCTGTGCCATTGCCATTGGCTCGACTCACTCACTTTGTGCAACACCTTCACACACGGGCAGCAGAGAGGGACGGGGCTTTGAGCCCCGCAAAATACACAGTCACTACACTTTACAGTGTATCCTGTGAAGCGCTTTGAGACGTCTCGAAGATGTGATGAGGCGCTGCATCAAATGCAAGGATTATTATTACATTATTATTATTATTATTACTTTCAGGTCTACGTTCAGTGTTCACAGAATGTAAAAGTGAAATGACAAGACTGCAAAGTCTCTGGATAGCACCCAATTCTCTGAACGCTCTTCTATTTAAAAACACACAAGCACCTTATTTCTCTCTCTCTCTCTCTCTCTCTCTCTCGGGTTAGCTAACTTGTATTGTGTCTGGGACAAATAACATTCAACGACAACAACAAATTACATTGTAAAGAACAACAGAATAACATACAGTACAGGCAGCCCCAGATATTCCTCAGGGCTGTATATATATATATAGATAGATAGATAGATAGATAGATAGATAGATAGATAGATAGATAGATAGATAGATAGATAGATAGATAGATAGATAGATAGATAGATAGATAGATAGATAGATAGATAGATAGATAGATATAAAAAACCTAGCCTGGAAGAGGTGAGCAAGAGAGGGGGAAAGAGAGAAAGAAAGAGAGAGATACTGAATACATTTATTTCAACCTTTAATCCTCCTCCTTTCCACTCTTTGCGGAAGAGAACTGAAGTATCAGCACTTAAACCACAAATCACATGGCTGCCCACCAGCCCCAGTGAAAATGTTTTGTGCAGCATCTGAAATTCTAACTGTGAGCCCAGTGAGAGACGCCAATCGATAATCAATAGCGACACAGCACAGAACGAGACGGATGTACAGTACTTGCCGTGGCGGTGGGGGGGTGCGGGAGGAAGGGGGAGGGGGTTGAGGGCAGGAGAGAGAGGGAGAGGGGAGCAAAGAGAAAACAATAAAATGCTGCTTTTACAATATAATCCTCACGCTTAGATTCCTGGCATTTGATACAGCGCCTTATCGGGTCGTTGAGACGTCTCAAAGTGCTTCACAGGATACACTGTAAAGTGGATTATTTATTGACTGTGTGTTATTTGGGCCAAAAGCACATTTTTTCAGGCGAGCGTGTAAAAAAATTGAAATGATCATTTGACGGGAAAGCTGAATGTGGATTAGGTATTACATAATAAATCCTTATAGGAAAGTCAGGTTTATAGTGTAAAGTCATCACGAGAAACGGCGCATTAGCCTCAAACGCACATAAATCTAAGTGATCGATTGTTTAGTGTCTTCTAAAATAATCACCAATGTCTCAGCAAAGCAGATTTGTGTGTGTGTGTATCTGTGTGCGCGGATCTGTGTGCGCGTGTGTGTGTGTGTGATTGTGTGTCTGTCTGTGAGTGTGTGTCTGTGTGTGTGTGCGCTTGTGTGTGTGGTGTTTGCCTGTGTGTGTGTCTGTGTGTGTATGTGTGTGTGCCTGTGTGTGTCGTCTGTGTGTGTGTGTGTGTGTGTGTGTGTCTGTGTGTGTCTGTGTGTGTGTCTGTGTGTGTGTGTGTCTGTGTGCCTGTGTGTGTGTCTGTGTATGTGTGTGTGTCTGTGTGTGTGTGTCTGTGTATGTGTGTGTGTCTGTGTGTGTGTGTCTGTGTGTGTGGTGTCTGTGTCAAATGGCAGCATTTACAAGAGCATTTTGTGATTCAAGCGCAGTTTTCAAATGGGGCTGAGCTCTGGTTAGTCACTGACCTTCTGCTTTTTCGGATGATTATTGCAGGGCTAAGGAAGGAAACATTCTGAATTCCTCAACGCTTTTTCTCCCCCCCCCGCCCCTCCCTCTTCGCGTTTAACATTTTTAAAAAGTAAAGGCTCGGATCACTCGCACGCATTCTTTTTTTTCCTTTTTTTTCTCCACGCGACCGTCGCACTGGGGGGTTAGCAAACGGTTAACCTGCACCAGATACGGTGCCGGGGCTGACTGAACAACCTGAACAGCTCGGAGCAGGGCTGGACAGCTCGGAGCAGGACTGGACAGCTCGGAGCAGGACTGGACAGCTCGGAGCAGGACTGGACAGCTCGGAGCAGGACTGGACAGCTCGGAGCAGGACTGGACAGCTCGGAGCAGGACTGGACAGCTCGGAGCAGGACTGGACAGCTCGGAGCAGGACTGGACAGCTCGGAGCAGGACTGGTCAGCTCGGAGCAGGACTGGTCAGCTCGGAGCAGGACTGGACAGCGAGGACAACCGAAAGTCGGTAACTCTACCTGAATCTCTGGGTTTGTGAAGATATCCTCGGTGACTTCACACGCCACTAACACGATCAGTTCCCACTCCATCTTTCGTGTCGGCATTCTTCAACGCGCCCTGTCTCCCCTTCGCATCCCTCTTGGCTATTTGTTGCGATTATTATTATTGTTGTTGTTGTTATTATTATACTCTCAGCAGCGACGCAGTGCAAAACCCAACACCGACAAGGCACTCGACCACCGGTGAAGCTTGGCCAACGCTTGGGACCATTATTGGCGACTTGGGCCCCCCCCCCCTCCACCACCAAAACCCCCCCCCACCAAAAAATGGGAAGAGACAGAGAGAGACAGAGAGAGAGAGAGCGAGAGATACACTCACTCACTCCTCCTTTGCAATCAGCTGTTCGTAATGGCTGTGTGAACAGCGCTCTCTCTCTCTCTGCGTTGCTCTCTCCCTCTCTCTCTCTGCGTTGCTCTCTCTCTCTCTTGCTCTCTCTCTCTCTCTCTCTGCGTTGCTCTCTCTCTCTCTCTCGCTCTCTCTCTCGATTTCTCTCTCTCCTCTATTCAGCACCGAGCAAAGCTTCCAGCCCAGCTCGTGACATCACCGACTGCAGCACACTCCCCGACCGTGCTCTAATGACTGTGTTTCTCAATAGAAAACCACGTAAACAGTACCCAGGCCTCGTTTCCAAACGCAGAAGAAAGATTCTAACAGCAAATCCCCCCCCTTCCCCTTTCCCCACTCCCCCACCAAAAAAAATACAAGAGCATTTTGCAGCAAATGCGATCGCCTTAACCCATTCTTTGCAACTGAGCGATGATTGTTCATTGAACGACAGACTGCAGCTTCTCTGTTCCTACTGAAGCAGTTTGAGGGGATGATGCCCTTATTGTGCAGTCAAGGTCATTTTTTGTCTCCTTTTTAATTAATTTCCCCTTCCTTCCCTCCCTCCCTCCCTCCCTCCCCCCCCCCCCCCCCACCACCACCACCAAACTCAAGCGAGTTATGTCAGGTCTGCTCTCTCCTCTCTCTCCCACCCACCAAGATTTTCTCCACACAGCAGTCTCCCCCCCCACACCCCCTCCGCCAACAAGCGCAAAAAAAAAATTACTCGAAAGCAACGTCGGTGAAAATTCTAACCCCCCCCCACCCCCGAAAAATTTGGTTTCTCAATCTGCGACTGTTTGCTGTGCGCAATTGGCTGCCCCGTTTGGCCGGAAAATACACAGTCAGTTCACTTTACAGTGTATTCTGTGAAGCGCTTTGAGACGTCTCGAAGACGTGATGAGGCGCTGTATCAAAAGGAAGGATTATTACTATTATAAAATGAAAATCCACACACAACCGGGCTCTTTGGGAATAAATGTGTGTGCACAAGGAGGGCCTTTGAGTTCAAGAACAACACATGACATTTACATGGCCCCTTTCACGTCAGGAGGACGTCCCAAGGCGCTGGGCTGGACAGTCAGGGATTTGAACCCGAGCTGGGGGTTGGGAGGGGTGGAGGGCGGGGAGGGTGGGGGTAGGAGAGTGACCGAAGGCGTGGTCGAAGAGGAGAGTCTTGAGGCAGGCTTGAAGCAGGCGAGGGAGGTAGTGAGGGGAAGGGACTGTGCGATGGAGATCCATTTTAAAGAGGAGTTTGTCTCCGAAGTCGCATCGGACTCGTTTTTTCCCGAAGACCAAAAATAACTGCATCCGCGCGAGGCGTTGCTGGAAATAAATATGCCAAGATCAGCATTTTGAATCTACTTCAGTCAGGATTCAATACCACACGCAGATTTTAGCTGCAGAATTTTCAGGCAAACTCTCTCTTTATTAACAATCCTTGCATGTGGCGCAGCACATTTCCCATTGGGAGGACATCCCAAAGCACTTAGGGTTTACTATGAAGTGGAGTGACTGTATATCTGTGGTGCAGCGTAGCAACCCAATTGCGCACAGCCATGTCCCGCAAGCAGCCATGAAATGAATGGTCCAATTTTCTTGCATTTGGCAGATTCTTGACCAAGAAACCGAGAGAAACTCCCCTGTCTTTGCGAATCGTGCCGGGGGGATCTTTAAATTCCACCACGAGAGGCAAAAGGGACTGTTCGGAACTGGAATTGAAAAACTTCTGGACTCCCAACGGACGGGCATCAAGTCAGCATTTCTCAACTCGTCCTGTTTCTCGCAGCAAACGGAGTTCGCTGGCTCCCCTGTCTCCCGGGATAAATAAGGCCTCGGTTTAATCGTGTATGTTGCTGTAGTGCCACAACAGTGAGCCCAGCAGGCACCGTGGCAGCACATTAATCACAAGATCCAATTAAATGATAACACCGTGCGTGTCGGTTTGAGATAACAAGAAATTAGAATGCGCGCAATAGGAGAGTTCAGTGGAGTGCTGAACAAGCTCTCCACAATAATACACAGACGCGGGAAGAATACGCAAACCCATCATTCCGACTGACACAGCTAGGTGTTTAAATCCCCTTTTTCTCTCTTGTTTAGGATCCAACGAGCAAATGCCACAACCTCGATTTTCCTTTCTGATCTTCTGAAATTGTCAAGCACTCGCTCTGCCGGTGTCGGGCGCTCTGGGACGCTATCCTGCGTGAGGTGAGGGGCGCGGCGTAAATGCAAGCTGTTGAAATTGGTTTAAACACAGTTAACCTGATCATTAGTTAGCAAATAACTCAGCTATGAAGAAGGTGGTGCAGATCATTCTCATTCCACTGCTGTAACTCAACCTCACCAACTCCCACCGTCAACTCTCGATCAAAGAACATGTCCGAAATGTGTTCAAAACTAGGTACCGTCCTGTGTAAGCGATAAGGAACCCAAGCCCGCCTTCAGAACACGGTCACTACAGTTTATGGGACAATCTGGTGAAGCACTCCGAGACAACGAGAATAAAGCATTATTTAGAGGATTATTCAGCGATACATTCTCAGCTAAGTATGACTTTACAAAGCCAGTCATCTGGCATCAGTGGGATACAGAATTAGTTGGATCTCCAAAGACTGCTCAGTCTTGTTGGATATGGGTTATTAGAACCAACAAAACCATTGTCATGGTTCCTCTGAATGTACAGCCCCTGGACTCTCTTGTTTCTTGTTATCCGCAATGTTGACCTTGGATCCCTCACCTGGGTTCCTGAATATAAATGACACTTACTCGTTGCGTGATCAGTAAAACCACCGGTAAATTCACCACAATCCTGATATTGGGTTAGATGGGCGATCAAAGGGCTAAATGCAACAACAAGAACAACAACAAGATTACATTTGTACAGCGCCCGTCCCAAGGCGCTGGACGGGGGAGGAGGGAGGGGGTGGGGAAGAAATACGCCCCCAAACCAACGACTCTCTTAAACGGCTCCGAAAATAGGAGTCAATGGGCAGGAGCAGAACAAGAAGAAAGCAGGTGCTGCAAAAAACAACAACAACCACCCACAAGCGTCAGGTCAAGAAAGGAATAAATCTGGAATAATGGGATGGGCCGAAGCCGCAGATTGAAATGAGCGACGTGGGCACTGGCTGGCTGTGCACTGGTACAGTCTACGGTGGAAATGGCTGCCAACTAAACCCAGGTAGTGGGCCATATGTACCTTGGAGCGTCTGTCCCCGGCCATCTGTCTTACACACTGTGAAGCTTTCCTGTAGCTTTGGGATCAATGCACCAAGATGCAGTGTTGTGTTACAGTATGACGGACTGACTGAGTGAGTGACTATGTGACTGACTGAGTGAGTGACTGTGTGACTGAGTGACTGACTGAGTAACTGACTGACTGTGTGATTGAGTGACTGACTGACTGAGTGACTGACTGGCGAACAGTGGTGTCTGCAATTACTGAGGCACGACAGCGCGCAGCAATTCACAGCACGCAAACCTGCACAACCCCCAACAAAAAAGACCCAGTCACTTGCACTTTACAGTGTATCCTGTGAAGCCCTTCGAGACGTCTTGAAGATGTGATAAGGTGTTGTATCGTCAACAACAACTTGCATTTACCCACGTCCTTCACTTGGGGCAGCGCCCTGGAGCGCCGTGGGGGGGCGGGGGGGTGGGGGAGGAAAGGGAGGTGGGAAAGGTTACTGTAAGCGCAATCAAAAAGGAAAGTCTGTAGGTGGGATTTGAAAGTGGGGCAGGAGGGAGGGAGGGATAAGGAGGAGGGATTGAGGGAGATGCCAGGAATATTATTATTATTATGACAACCAATTCAGAAATCAGACCGGGGAAGAGGTTGAAAGATCTCTTCGAGATTCCGCGCTATTGACTAGACACCGTTTACAGGTTGTCAAAGTGGGAGCAATATCAGTATCTGTAAACTGCAATTTCCACTTCAAGAGGGAGAAAGCAGTCAGGACTGGAAATCGTCGTGTGTTTATTGAGGTTATTGCCGAGGTGAATCAAGAGCGAAATGGAAGGCAGTTTGCCCCACCAGCCACTGCGTTGCTATATTTAGATATAATGCGTTAGGGCTGGTCACAGAAACCATCCCTGCTGCTTTGGCTCACTACTGTGAGCAAGTGAAGACTTGTCCTGGTTCTAGAAAAATCTACAGGAGACCCAGTCTGCAAATGCATAATAATAATAATCATAATAATAATAATCCTTGTATTTGATATTCACCTACCAAATATACAGTCAAATCACTTTACAGCGTATCCTGTGAAGCGCTTTGAGACGTCTCGAAGACGTGATAATGCGAAGGTTATTATTATTGCAGCGCCTTCTCACGTCTTTGAGACGTCTCAAAGCGCTTTGTTACATGAATACCGTTACGTGCGTTGAACTGTATACTTTATGGGCGAAACGCAGCAGCCGATTGCGCACAGCAGCGTCCCCACAAACAGTCGTGGATTGAGTGACTGAATTATTATTATTATTATTATTACTATTACATCCTTCCACTCGAAAGATAATTTGCTTGCCACGAAGGATTTGCTTTCCGTCTACTTTTTGTCGAGCACCACAGTACGGTCCTTGGCCTCTCTCACCCAATTGGCTGAATATAAAATGACTTATTTATTCTGTGGAATCGAGTGCTGACAGAAGATCCTTTCTTCATTGCTACCTTGGATTGAGCAAACAATGGCAGTGACAGAGGCTCTGTACTGCGTGGCAGGCAGAATAGCACGTCGTTTTTAAGACTGAATGTGAATCACGACGGATTCGTGCTCTAGACACAATTCGGAGTTAGTTACGAGGGTTAAGCGTCGCGGCAAAAAAACACAATACAAGATTCAAGCTTGTTCAACGCTCCTCTGAACCCTCACTTTGTACCCCCGCCCCACAAAGCCACTTGCGATGGCCCCATATCTTTATTAGATGACCATTCACACAACC